AGTGATGATGTTAAAGAAAGAGAGATTTGGGAATTTAGGAAACCGAATTGAATACAATCGGGTTAGTGGGTTAGAATAGTGAGTAGTTAGGTTAGTAAATAAGTAGAATTTTCTAGGTTTCTGGTCTTTTTCTCTTATTTTTGATTTAATTTTAATTATTTTAAAGAATAAAAAGGCAAGAGGTCTATATGAGAATTTTTTGACCCAGTGTAGTCTATTACAGCATTTGATTCCTCATCCGCGTATGTAAATTTGATTTTTGATTCTTTTTTTTTTACTTAGTAAAATCAAACTTTGAATTTAATTCGCATGTTTGTTTGTTTTAGGTTCTACCTTGGAACGCTTGGCAAGGGAGAATCGCTTGCGCTTGGCTAAGAAGCAGACCACTGCCAAGTAGAATAAAAGAGAAGCACATATCCTCCTTATTTTGTGGTATTAAGTTATGATGATCGCAACATTTTTTATTTTCTTTTATCTGGATGTTTAATATTACCACAAGTATTTGTTTTTGTTTTTGCGTGGATTTTTGCCTAAATCAATATGCAAAAACCGGAGAAACAAACAACATCAAGGGTACCTTAGACATTTTAGTATGGTCGGTGGAAGAACAGTTGTTTTTTGGAAATACGGAAGTCTTGATATGTACTTATGGTTCGGTTGATATAAAATGCATGTGAAGTGGTAGCTTCTTTGTTTCTTATAATGGATCCATTAGTGGTTGCTGCCTTTACTACCTGAGGGACTCCCCTTTGTCCACTTTCAAGTGAACACACTACCCATCGTAATGTATATTCTCAGTATGATTTGCTCATTGTTTGATTGATTCTGATTTGTGTTGCGTTTTTGTGGTGTAGTTTTAGTAGATTGCCATATGTCCCTTCCTGTTTGATATTCAGTTTTCATCTTACATGTTTGAATCTCTGTTGATATCTGATTATATGAAACTGGATTTGAAATATGTTTTGTTGCTAGATGAAATAGGCAACTGACCTGTGTTTCTTAGATCTGATTCACTGTTTGAGTTTGTTTTTTTTTGCAGGAGCAAAAAAAGTGGAATCTTTGGAAGATTGGGGCATGACCCTTAGCTGATGGTCCTGTGAGCTTAAAAGAACCTGAACGGCCGAGGATTGATGTCGTAATTGATTTTGTTATTACGCTTCATGGCATGGTTTTGAGCCGTAGATCAACTATGTCTGATAGTGATGCAGAGATGCTCCTGAAATGAATCTTTGAGATGAATCTTAACACTGCAGCAGTCACATTCCAGAACCAAACTACTGAATCCAAAGTGGCAGGATTAGGTGTTGTATACTACATATTTTTCCCTAAATCAATAATTTGATGTGTTGTGATTGTGATAATAATCGCCTGTTAATTGTAAGCGATGCTCATTGCCTTTGGCTTAATGAAACGTTTATTAGTATATACACCCCAATTTGATATACAACACCTAGATATTATAATTAAACAAACTTATTTTAAAAATTTATATATACATTATATGTGAACTCTAATCCCTAATTTTCAAACTTCAAGTCTTAAATATTATTATACTATTTTAACGTAATTATTAAAATAAAGCATATGACATTTTAAATCCTAAATTAAAAATTCAGAATCTTAAAATTGTAAAGGTAAATCATGTTTTTAAAAATCATACATTTTAAAATGAAAATTAGCCTACAAAATAATTATTAAAAAAACTAAAAAAATTTAATTTTAAGTAATCATCAATTCAAATAGATAATACGAAATAAATTTTTGAAAAACAATTCACATGAGTGCCAAAAGATAATAGAAGGGCATGTGGAAATTTATAAATCAAACCCGACGGCATATGTTAAAATATAATTTTTACACAAACCCAAGCAAATCCATGCATCCACTAAAATAAAGTTATCTTTCGATATCCTCCCCAAAAATAATTTGGGAACATTTTATCTAAGATCACCGCATCCGCACACTATGATAGGCAAAGGCAATGTATCTTAAAATACGATCAACTACCTTGCGTTAATGTTTCAGACAAAGAGCTAGCCACCACACTACCACAATCACTTTTGGTCTGTCGTGTATAAAAGAGAAGAAGCAAAAAAAACAAAACATGTGTCATTTTAAAAAAACCTTTTGAGATGGGATTGACTATGCAGACAATTACCGATCATACTTTCCCTTCAAACAAAAAAAATTGTAACAACCACAGCTCTACATTGATTTACATTATAATAAACCAATAAAATGTTACAAATAAAACAAGTGGCAATACACACTTACAAATAAAACAAGTGGCAATACACACTCAGTGCAAATTCAGGTTTTTAAGAGCAAAAACATTCACATCTTCAAGTTCTTCCGTTTCTCATAACAGACATTGCCAGATTTTCGTATATAACCAGCATAATCTTTGTGATCAGACGGTGAAAAGATTAAAAAGAAAACAAAGTCTACGGAACCAAACACATGCATTACATGTTTTCCTTTTGGAAAATCAACTTTACTTTATGTTTTAAGTTCAACTTGCTTTGATGCAACTATCAGCTAATCCATCAGTAATGAAACCACTTATTATATTCCTCTTTGAGTTAAACTACTTCGAAATAAAGTAACACACTACTATTACTAACCACTATCAAATGGATCAAAAACAGTTTTAAATTTATTAGAGAATAAAACATTTTACGCGCCAGAATACCACTAGTACACTATAAAAATGAATCATATACTATGCAATTTGAGATAGCAACACGTTTCATCATATGTTGCGTGAAATTAAATAATATTGTTATTCAATATCTACAGTATAGTGTACGGATATTGACTTATATTTTCGATCCATTTACATCCTCAAATAACATATTCGTGGACTGTATTTTTCCTTGGAAATAGTCTAAAATGTGAATCCATAGACCCAGAATATTTCATGTTAATAAAAAAACATCTATCATATATTGCACTCTTGATTTCTGAAGGCTTGTTGACGAATATTTCTTATCCTTCAATAACAACATTTGGAAAGTTAAACGTTGAAAATTAAAGATAATTAATTACTGCATTTTTATTAACAATTTATATATTTTTATACAATATAAACTTTAATAAAACTCACTATCTTTTTTAAATTTAAATTTTCCACTAAACAACGTATTGAAAATGTAAAAATATATTTTTAAAACAGGTTATTAAAAACGTTAATTTTTTCAAAACGAAGAAGTATTTTAATAACATGAATTTTAGTTTCTTAAGAAAATATAAGCGGTCACCTAATAATATTCCATCTATCCTATTATTTGCGAAGTGATTTTTCGTAACGGAGCTCTCACGTTAAAAGTTAGAGTGGTTAATATCGATTATACCCTCAATGAATAAAATATATAAATTAGTCAAAAATAAAAACGAATTTAATACTTATTTGATTAGATAAATGATTAAAATTAATAATAATGATAAGAATTATCCGTAATCTAAATATATACTTAAAAGAAAAAGATAATTCCTATATATACTATGTTGTTATCCGGAAAATATATTTTTAATAAAAAAATTTAAAAACAAAAACACATAAAGAAATATTCATAGAATAAATTTTTTAATTGTATATCATTTAAAAGAGAAAATTGAAAAAAAGATGATACGTAATTACTTATTAAATTTATATTTATATTTTATATAGGTAAACCTTAGACATGAATTAATCATATAAAATAAAAGATTATTAAAAAGAAAGAAAATATGTGTTTGATAAAACTAAATTCAAATATATTGTATTATTATCCAAACTAATATTATTTTTTTTGTAAGATCAATTTTTGAATGTATATTTATCGATTCAATTTTTCAAATGGAAATATACTTTAGATTTTTTGAAGTTTTAAAGGAAAAATAGTTTTTTTAATTTGTGAATAAATTTATCATGTAGAAAAGTTTATGTTTTAGGTCAATTTTTTAGATGCAAATAATCATTTATTTTGAAGATTTTTTAAATTGATTTAAAGATAATTAAGTCCGCATGTGCGGGCATAACACCTAGTTTTCTTGACAAGAGTAGGAAGCTCGGTATTATATTGGTTAGGTCTAGGGATGGCAATCTGGACCGCGGCCCGCGGACTAGTCTCATAAAAGCCCATACGGGGCGGGTTTGGGCCAGCGAATTATAGACCCGATAATTACCCGCGGGTAATGATGTTGCGGGATTGGGCCGTTGCGGTTTGGGCCACTGCGGGTCAAGCGGGTTTAGAGAGGACCGCTTTATTCTTAGTCGTTTCGGCACCTGAAAAAACAATTTAGATTGTGAGAAGGCGATATCGCTGAGGATATCACCAACAAGGCTCTTTGAGCTCTGACGACCTTGACTCGAGCTCCGACGGTACCTCCGGCGTCCCTTTCAAGGTCAGTTGATCACCAGAGGAGCATCGACCTTGTCCTCTATCGATCTCCAAACATTTCGTCTTCTCCTCGACTAAGGCCACCACCGGAGCTTCTTTCCGTCCTCGAGCAACCACCAGAGTGTCTCCTCTTCCTCGATCTACCACCATTGACTCTCTTCTTCAAAACTGGTTGAAGCATGTAAGGGAAAAGAGTTTTGTAATTGAATTGATTTGGTTCTGATTTTTAATCTTTAACTTTGTGTAAGGAACAAGGTCTATCGGCTGTGAGTGAATTTTGGTTGATAGATAGCATAGAGAAACAAGAAGCTCAGCCACTAGAGGCTTATGTATTAGGTAATTGATAAGTATTTTTTTTTGTTTTATGGAGGATGATGGAATCAATGTGAGAAGTGGAGCACTTGGACTAAGGCAGCTCGGTGTTGCTTCAGCTCATTTGCGGGCCAGAAAAGTCAGTAGGTCTACCTAACATGCATGCGTGCTAAAATGCTTGTAATATTTGATTATTGGTATATAACGATTCATTGTGTAATAATAAGACCACAACTTCGAAATCTTATTTATTTTCCTAATTTTATAATCTCATAATTTGTTGTCCTTCCTATTCCAGTTTGTAAGATGTGTTTTTGGTTTCTTGTAGTAGAAGGTATGAAATGAATGTACAGAAGTTGCTAACCATTCCATTTAGCTTTGTAGGGACAACCAAATTAGTTGAGAACTTGAACGGCTAATTAAGCTAAAATGAAGATTCTAATGATGATTGTTAACAGGAAGAAGGCATGTTTCGATGCAATTATCAAGAACCTTTTTCGGACTAACCAATCTTCTCTTTAATAGAAGGTATCCATCATATCATATTTGGACTTACTCTGTTTTGTTACTTTCTTACAATGTATTGAAAGGACACAATGTATGTTTGTGTACTCACTCTCTTTAGCATAAAGTGTGTAATAATAACAACTTTCTCTGTTGTTGTAAAGAAAGAAACGAAGATGAAGTCATTGATGGCAACAGAAAACGTTTGAAACCTGGAAACGTATCTCCACGCCGCCCTGTCCCATTCAATATAAACAAACCTCCTTATGTTGAGTCTTTTACAGTCCCTGGAATCTCAAGTGGACTCCAGATTCATGACAAGAAAGGTATAGAGAGCATGAGAGCTTCTGGGAGACTTGCTGCTAGAGTTCGTGAATACGCTGGCACTTTGGTTAAGGTAGTTGGGTGAGATAAAGTTTCAAACACTTTTTTTTGTTGTCACATTCTTACAGAAGAACATCATTAGTTTTTCATTTTTGTTTTGAGACAGCCAGGTGTGACCACTGATGAGATTGATGAAGCGATTCATAATAAAATTATAGAGAATGGAGCTTATGTTTCCCTAAAAGTGTTTGCACCTCTGTGAATGAATGCATTTGCCATGGCATCCTTGATCCTAGACCACTTAAGGTGTGTGTATGTGTGTGTTTCAGTGTCTTTTACTTGTGAATCCTAAAAGCAACATTGATGCCACAGTTTATTTAAACGTAAGTTGTCTTCTTTGCGTGTTTCACACTCCTTCACTAGGTTTACTTGATGGTTATGTTGGTCTACAGGGTTATCGCGGTGATACTTCAGCTACTTTCTTCTGTGGAGATGTCGACGAGAAAGCTAAAAAGCTATTCCAGGTACAGACACTTCTATGAAAAGTCTGGTTTATGTTATAGTTTGATGAGTGTAATGTGGTTTAGGTGACAAAGGAGTCTCTAGAGAAAGCGATATCTATATGTGGACCTGGATTTGAGTACAAGAAAATCGGCAAAACCATTCATGGCAGGTTGTTCACTAACTGCAACTGGTTTCTAGAAAAGGGAGATAATACAATTTAAATGATGATAATGAAAGTTGGAATCCATAAATTTTGCTAAACATGAATTGCTTAAAGGATTCCATTCTTGGTTGAGAATTTTGATATTAATTAAATACTCAAAAAAGTGCCCGCTCTTGTTCAACAAAAACAAATTCTAAAACACAAAGAAACTGTTCTACAAGTTAAATTTTTTTATTTATTATGGAATCAAATATGAGACAGAATCAAAACAAAGAAGTTGTCTCTTGTCACGACCATCGTATCCTTCAAGAAAATGGTCTCAGTCTTGTGAAGGTTCATAATCTTCATCGCCATCTCTGGAGCTCAATAAAGGGACCTCCATGAGTTGGAGGATCCCGCATCCTTTTATCTCATATGTTTTGTAGAATCTCGCCTCCACAGAATAGTCCATGTCGCCGTGATAATCTGCATAGCCGATATGGAACTCAAAAATAAGCTCGGTGGAAATCAACTCCTCTGTTTCAACCTCAACCACGAATGTGTGCAGATGTCCCGGCAAAAATTGATCTATTTCTTCATGAGAAATGATTGAATTACTTCCGGACTTGATTTCACAATAGATACAGATTTCTCTTGTATATAAAACCACCTCATCTTCATCACGATAACATATGAAGCCAGCCTTAAATTTGATTGATTTACCAAGAGGCATTTCATTCAACTTCACAGTTAAGGAACTCCCCAAAGAAGATCGGTAAGTGAAGCAGCGAGGCACTTCTCCACAAGGAAAGACCGCATATCGAATGGTCGGCGTTTGGATGACGAGATCTATAGCTTCTTGATTTAGTTTTGAGCAGTTTGCGAAGTTGAGACGAATATCTGGATTTCGAAACTCGCAATCCAGTTGCTTCAGGGACGCACAGTTTTCTGCATTTAGTTCCACTACCGAATACGGAAGCTGTGGGAGTGATACCAGCTTCTTCATTCCGCATAGTTTAAGAATTTGTAGACGAGATTTTCTCCAAAACCATGGATCACGCTCTTGAACTTCTGTGGAACTCTCAGGATTTCTTTTTAACAAAGAGCTATCTGAGCGATGTTCTCTTATCGAATCAGGAATCGGAGGTAGTGATACCAGCTTCTTTATTCCACTTGTTAAATGTCGGCGTAGACGAGATATCCTTCCGATACATGGATCAGGCTCTTGAATGTCTGTCGAATCACTTTTCAACAAAGCGCAACCTGAGAGATCAAGTGTTACGAGAGGTTCCAAGCTGACGTTGGCCAGATTAACCTTTAACTTTGAGCATCTCCTTAAGTCCAATGTAGACAATTTACGAAGGTTTCTCATAGAAGAAGGGAGTTCCACCAAACTTGAGCAATGATTGAGATATAACTTTTCGAGATTGATTGCATTCCCCATAGAGGAAGGGAGTTCCACCAGCCTTGAGCATTCACTGAGATATAATTCCTGGAGATTAGTTGCGTTCCCGATAGAGGAAGGGAGTTCCACCAGCCTTGAGCAATGGCTGAGATCCAATTCCTGGAGATTAGTTGCCTTCCCAATAGAGGAAGGGAGTTCCACCAGCCTTGAGCATCCTCTGAGATTCAGTTTTTGAAGATTGATTGCATTCCCGATAGAAGAAGAAAGTTCCACCAGACGAGAGCAATTACTGAGATCCAATTCTCTAAGATTAATTGCATTCCCAATAGAAGAAGGAAGTTCCTCCAGCCTTGAACAATGACTAAGATTCAGTTCTTGAAGATTAATTGCATTCCCAATAGAAGAAGGAAGTTCCTCCAGCCTTGAGCAATGACTGAGATTCAGTTCTTGGAGATTAATTGCATTCCCAATAGAAGAAGGAAGTTTCACCAGACTTATGCAATGACTGAGATACAATGCTTGAAGATTAATTGCATTCCCAATAGAAGAAGGGAGTTTCACCAGACTTATGCAATGACTGAGATACAATGCTTGAAGATTAGTGGCAGTTGAGAGATCCGGAAGCTTTTCAAGTCTTGTTGATTTTGTCAAATTCATCCACTTGAGATTGTTGAGCAGCTGTAATGACAAATTAATAAAGCACACAAGAACACATGTTCGTACAATTAGTATCAAAACACATTAAAAATTGGTTATATAGCCTAAATTGGGAGCACACAAAAAAATAGCCTAAATTGGGCAGAGAAAACAATTACTTACTTTAATTTCTTCCCACAATTTCTTAAGCTTGCTATCTTCCATCTCTAGTTTGACTAAGAATTTTGGGTTAAAACTAGAAGGAAAACATGTCATCTGGGACCTCAGCCAAACTAATACTCTCAGTTTTCGAGATATGTAGTTCATACTTTGCGGATTAACGCCACAGCCTTTGATTCTTAAGAATTGAAGATTAGACAATCTTTCAAAAGCTCTTTCACTTGTCCATGTAATGGCCTTCCCCTGTTTAAGATCCATTCCTATTACACATCTGCTATCCTGTAAAACAACCCAATGAAACATAAATACAGATTGTTTAGTTACAATCTCACATTTGTAGCGGGCATTGCAATGTAAATACCAATTTCATAACTTACAGATTTATCATCGCTAAGTAGCTCATCAATATCAACTGCTTTATTCAAAAACAGGCGTTTTCCAGGATCACTAACAGATTGTTCTCGCACAATTTTTTTTCCTAGTTGGACTAGCAACACATGCATCTCTATACGTCCTATGTCGATATATACGAGAGATTTTTCAGCTAAGACACGAATCCCTTGTGTCACATCCAAAAAGCACTTTGCTAGACAACCTTCCACTATACTAACTCGATCACCATAGAAAAAGCAGGCTATATGAAGAAATAATTGTTTATCTTCATCAAGTAAGGCATCATAACTAAACTTTAAAATGCTCGCAATTTCTCCATCTCGGTCAAGGTGAGTCCTTAACCTTGGTAGTGCCTCTCTCCAGTCTTGCTCGGACATTCCCCGAAAATGGGAGCCAATAACCCTTAGCCCTAGTGGAAGTTTACCTACAAGACTAGTAACTTCATAAGCAAGCTCCTCAAAACCATACTTAGGGTATTTCTGACCAAAAGCATACATGCAAAACATTTGAAGAGCCTCATCATTTGATGGTAATTTCACCTTGTATATATGGCCAATTCCACTTGCTTTTAAAACCTTTTGATCTTGTGTCGTGACGATAATCCGACTCCCAGGACCAAACCAACTAGTTTCCTTTGCCATAGCTTCCACTTGTATTGACCGGTCCACATCATCAAGGACAATAAGAACTTTCTTGTCTTTCAACCTGTCTTCGACGACTCCCAAATGTGAAATATTGACACATGTCTCATTGGTTAGTTGAGACATAAACTGCTTCTGAAAATCCAACTTCACACTGTAGTCATCGGAACAAGATGGTACCACATACTTTCTTTTGATATTATCTACAAAGACACTCATCTGAAAATCTCGAGAGTATTCGTTGAATAGAGATCTGGCAATGGTGGTCTTACCAATCCCAGACGGACCCAAAATCCCTATTTTTCTCACCTCATCTGAATCTAGCCGTAACAATGGTTCCAGTTCTGTCATACGAGATTCCATCCCAACTAAGCCGTCAAAGTCACTGCATGGTGCTGAAAGGTTCAACTTGTTCGAAACATCAGTAGCAATATCTTCAATCATCTCTGCTTCATTCTTCCTGAACAAGGAGATGATCAATGTTTATGTTATACTATTTTAGATATTCGCATACTAATAACTAAAAGCAACACTAATTTCGTATGCAGAGGTTGACGAACCAGTTTGTTGAATGGAAACCTGCGATTTGGGCCACTTCGGTCAAAGCATGTTTCCACCTTTGAATCTCATCCTTTGTTTTTCTTTTACAAGTCTTTGTGAAGACCTTCCCAAAATCACCAGTCTGCTTCTTTACGTCAGTTGGATCCACTTGATAGAAAATGGACATCACTGTTTGACCTAGTTCTTCTCTGCACTTAATGATCTCAACAAGCTCGTTCAAACACCATGTCGAAGAAGCGTAGTTCTGGGAGAGCAAGACAATAGCAATCCTCGATCCTCTTATAGCTTCAATGAGTTCAGTACCGATGGACTTACTCCTCTCTATATCATTGTCAATAAATAGGTTGATTCCTTTGCTCTTAAATTCCTTGATAATGTGGCTGAGAAAGTTTGTGCGGACATCTACCCCGTGGAAACTTGGGAAGACATGGTGTTTCCAGTTGTGTGGCAAAGAAGAAGGAGGAGGCAAAAGAGCTAAAGAAAAAGAAGAAGCCATTGTATCGTTTTCTTGATAAGATCTGGATTATATTTTTTCGATGAAAAATATTGTAGCCAAGAGCGCCAAGAAGCGTAATGGTAAGGGATAAATAAGAATCTATACTAGTAAGCTGAAGAGAGGAGGATCAAGATCCCAGAGATTTGTAGACAAGGAGAAAGAATTATCAAAGAAGATATGTGTGCCTATTAACACACAACGTTGACTGAGAGATAAGAAAGAAAGTTTCGTGGAAACAGTTGGTATCATCAATTTTCCACAAGAAATATGTGAAATATCATTCGGGCCCTACCTATTAAAGGAGATAAAAAGAGACAAGATACGGTGCACAGGTTTACCAATAGGAGTACACACAAGCTAAAGTAATTGTTATTTTTATTTATTTGGTATTTGACTTAGTTTGCTAAAAACAAATATTTGTATTTTCGGATACTTGTTAAAAATGGTATACTTCCAAGTATTTGTTATGTTTTACTATTTGTTATTTCTGAAATATTTATAAATTTATTATATACTTATTTGCAATTTTTTAATAACAATTTATTAATTTTAGCTACTTAAACCTTATATATAGTTTAAGAAAAGAAAAAGTTAATTATAATTTTAATCTAAATATTTATTTTCACTTTTATATGTTTTGAGTCGATATGATAAATATAAAATCTTAAAACTAGAAAATATCTTTATATCCTTTTAATTCATTTATCGTATAAATAAGTAATTTGATTATAATTTAAAAAAAAAATTTGTTTGAAAGTAAAAACGGG